TTTCAAAATAGACCTCAGACAAAACATGTTCCCCCGCAGAATACATTGAAAACTGTAAAAGGGTTCAGTTAACCGTTCCCAAAATTCTAGAATACTACTTACAATAGAGAGTGTACGGTTGCTGTGAAATGGGAAAGCCAGTCTTCAGTAGCTATTGCCATCTGACAGGTCATACGCATCTATGACTTCACTAAGGCGTAAGCACCAACCAACCGTACGGAACTCCGAAGTTCCCACGTCAACCAAGCGTTAAAACAGACTGCCCCAGATGAAATTAGACCCAGAGGTGATCCGGGCTCGGTTAAGTGTTGAAAGGGTTTATAAAAACAAACGTTTCCTAATTGTAGATCCGAACAGCAGATAAATAAAGCTTATTACCTTTTTTGCCGTATGATGTGGATGACGACATTTGCTCACTTACACTGTTTGTAGCGAGAAGCTTGCTTTCACAAAAAGTCACCCGTTGGCTCGCTTACCCAACCAGGCCCGGTCTAACAGCGTTTTCATGAATAATGCAAGGATGCATCAACAGCAACGGTCCGCTAAGCAGTCATAACCTGACACTTGTCTCAAGAAGTTTGGCTATTTCCTTGGAAGCTTATTCATTAGGAATATCAGGCTTCAAACTAGACAGGCTAAAGAGATGTGTCCTGTCACCGCATATACAAACGCGCACATTGTTCACTATAAACGATCGGTAACAGAGGGGACCAGGAGCCCCACTATACAAGTGGAGTAATGTGCTAAATGTCCGCGATGTCGGTCTTAGGGTCATGCCTAGGGTTAAGTTCTCGGTAAGACTTAACATAATACTATGATTTAGAAGACCGGAATAGGTAAGGTTAATAGATTTGGGCCCAAGTCCAACTGTAATTCTGGGAGAATTTCTATTTTCATGTCTTACTAAACAATGTCACGCGCGTTTATACTATCACAATGGCATTAGGGGCCGCCAAGTGACGGGATAACACGTGACTCTCAGGGCGGAAAGGCAAGCTACTGCGGTCACTGTTGGAAGGAGAAATTTAACGAACAGCCTTAGCAAGCAGTTAGCTTGCAAGCGTTAGCCGCACTCACGGCAGGCTATCGATCAGCCTACAGGCGGCGAACGAATACTGTCAGTCAATCGATCGATAATTTAAAATTCAAGCTACAGTCAGCCGTCGAATCACCAGACAATCGTGCCGGTAGCAACGGCAGGACAGAAGCTGATTGGCTCGATGGACATAGGTTACACGCGTTTGTTGTTCTAAATATGTTGCCCCTTTGACACTCAAAGACTTCTGCTTTCGCCCTGTTCTTGTCGTGTTCTTCCTTGGGGGTTCCCACAGGACGCAATTGGGCGGTGATACCTTGGCCTTGGCTACCGTTACAAAAACTGTGATATGCCTAGTTATTTGGGTTCCCAGCCGCTTCAGCTAATTAACACTTGCAGTATGCTTCGTTGATAATATAATGTGAGGCACGTGCTGACCTGAGGTTTAGCCTCATCCACCCGATGCCACCTCAGGTCGTCCTGACTCCCAGAAATCACATCAACTTTCTGTTTTTCAAAAGCAGCTCAGAGTCAATCACTTTGAGGCCTGCCACACAGATGCAGGCATAATTTTAAAAAAGCCTCCCACCACGGCTGTACAATAACTTACCCGAAGAAGCCGAGCTACATGAACCTCCTCGTAGACCGCTCTTCCGAGCCCCGGATGTCCAGTGTAAAGTTGTTGGGAGGTCACGGAGGACGCAGTCGGCGCGGTCTCGGAACTGCTCTTTCTGCTGGATTTTTGCGACATCTATGGGGAAAAAAGAAAACAGACATAGGTGATGATGATGACAGCTGATATATCGCCACTTAGGAAGACATACTGAAAGAGAAGGCAATGAACTCAACGAAATGTGTGGTAGATTACAGCAAAATAACTACAATAGTAGGTCATTGAACACCGATCTGTTTCAGAATGTACCCATCCTGGTTGAGGCCGTTACAGGCTTGGCACGTCCAAGCATATGTTGCAAGTACTGTTAAGTACTAAGTTTCAGTGTGAGGACGGGTACATCCTGAAACAGCTCGTTGTATAATTACTTATTACTATATTCGCCCGATCAAAAACCAACAAGAGAGCGAACACGTGGCTCAATGGTTAGGGCGTTTGCCTCTGACCGGAGAGACGCGGGTTCGAAACTCGAGTATGGCAGCAATTTCAGCGACAACTCTATCGCTAGATGACGACGGCTAATAAGCCAGAAATAGCTATTCTAGCGTCCTTCTGTCTTTGTCGGTAATACCTAAAAAGATAACTACATTATAAGTGCATCCTACTTTAAAGCAGTGTACCTATATGGTGATTAGAAAGTCTCTGTGAACGTGGCAAACCTGTTCAAACAAAATGGATAGAATGCTGGAATATGTACCCACTCAGTACACTCAGGGGTGGCCTCGAGAAAACGTCCAGGCAGGTGCTAAGGTTAGAGTTAGGAAATGGAGCTGAGTACAACTGTGGACATTACCACAAGACCACCTGTCTGGGCGAAATTCTTGAGAAGGGGGTTAGTTAGCATCAGCATCATCATAGGTGGAGCGCCAAAATTCCCAAGTCCAGGCATGAGGTGTACATTAGTACTTCTTTGTCTTAGTCGGGAAACGCCCTTTTTGCCTACAATAGCCGTCGACGTGCGCCTGCTAGGGCGGGGGTAGGGGACTTGAGAGCAACCCCCAAGGAAAAACAGGACGAGTATATCTTCTGACGCGACTGCTGAGCTTCCAAATACCACTGTTATTATACTCGACCGCAAACGAGAGGACAACGTGCGCTTGGCTCAATGGTTAGGACGTTGGACTCCTAACCAACACACCAAGGATTCTAGCTGTAAAGTACAGGCCTCGTTTGCCCCCC